AATTACGGTCAAAAGAGGCAAACCCCCGGATAAAAGCAAAATAATAGGGCAATATTATCAATGAGTCCAATTTGTGGATTCTTTAGATAGCTCACGCTGTGGACTACGTCCATCCATCCAGGGATGAACTGGTGGGGAAAACTAAACCGCTATTTGTAGCGGTGAAATAAATTCATAACTGGTTTGTAAAAGCAACCTGCCACGAGGTCAAACTGAAATGAGGTATCCTATTTTTAAACTGTCAAACTGGTATAATCTGCGACTAGTCGGATTGTGTCATGTATCTTCTACTGTCCCTCAATCTATTCTGTTCCGTAGAACTGTCCGAACTGATCAGTTATTTAAGGACCAGATTTGGAGACCGGACTGTACCTCCTCCGGAGTCGGATTCCACTTCACCACTGGAAGCAACAGAATCGGATCAATGGACATGGCTTTTGAATATGTTATCCGACCCGCTGTTACAACACGCATTTCTCATGCACGATCGTGTGGCCTCAGCATACGAACAGTGCCGTTCTCGGCTCGAGCCCCGACCGCGACATCGTTGGCCCGTTCTACCAGGCATGGCTTGTGACACGTTAGACGCAGTACTCACTCACGTGTTCACTGTCCTACAACGCCCGGTCTGCTTGGACACGGAGACTATGAACAATCTGTCGTATCTGCACAGTTTACTTTCGAAACCGAATTTTAAGGTGCGTTAACAATATATATATATATATATATATATCAATGGAAACTACCTCTGTTGCCTTAAGTAAATAAACACAAACCTGGTAACATTGAAGAACACTCGATTTTAGTTTCTCAAACCAGTATACGTTTAAGATAGACAAGAATTCTCGTTATGAACCACGCCATATGTTGACCGAATATTGTCCTTCCTTTCATAAAATCCACCCTTTCTAGAATTTGCTGTTGGCTATGGATGGTTTGGCCAATACGTGGCTTTTTGATGTCTCTGAGGAGGATGCAGAAATTTTGGATGCAGAAGACGCG